CTTACAAAATGTCCCGCGACTGAAAATAGTTTTCAAAAGAAAACCCACAACTTCAGGTCGACTTTGCACTACAGACTTATTTATATATTGCACGGGAAATACAGATCCGATCGGTTATCCAGATCGAGAAGTCAGCTGATGTTGCTAAGTTTAAACGCGCCGTGTCCTCCTGATTTAAGTGTAAACGCAGCCTATTAATCAAAGGACAAAGAAAAAAAAGAGGAAAAAATAACTTTTGTAGCTTTAAGGATCCATCTATATTTAATTTAGAATTTAGTGTTTGATAACTTCAATTTCAGTTTCTGTATATTTCTGCTGAAGGGCACAGGTAAATATGACTATTTAGGTGAATAAACCCATTTATTATAATGGGTTTATGTGAAGATTGTTTTAAGTTCACTTAAATTAGAAGTTATTTTTTTAAAGTCTAATGAATGTTAAAATTGATAGCTCTCAATTACACAGTAATGTTGAATGGCTATAGTCAATGGTTAAATATTAGGGGGAGGGCAATTTTATAGAGAAATCAGTATTGGTATCATTGATACAATGAAAAAAAAAGTTTCATTCATTCAATTAAAAAAATTTAGAGTAATGATTCACATCTATATTTTTTAACTTGAGCCAATGAAAAATAAATAACTTGCCCTAAACAATATTTTCTATGTCTATGAAAACTATTTTATAAAACCTGGCAAAATATATTTTCTTGTTGAAGAAAGTCAATTAATTTAAATTCTATTTTTGATCTAAACAAAAAATATATAGATTTAATCAAAACAAAAATTCATTTAAGAAATTTCTTTTTATAGTTTTCATAGACAGAAAATATCGTTTATTGTTATTTATTTTTCATTGGCTCAAGTTAAAAAAATATAGATGTGAAATCATTACCCTCAATTTTTTTTAATTGGATGAATGAAACATTTTTTTCGGTGTAATTTCCAAGTTAAATCTATATCGGTTGTTTTTTTTCCAATTTGTTAAACTAGAAAATTAAGAAAAAAGCAAACAAATAAAGGAATATTCATGCAATTTTCTGTTTTATTTTAATTCAATTACAAATGTTAATTTAAAAACACAACAAAACATAAATTTTTTATCTGATCAGTTTTCAGAATCAGAATCACAACAAACAGCATCAAAACTATATGGTTTTACACCACTCTGAGTTCACAATACTGGCAGTACTGAATTTTAGGTGCTAACTCACCTTTTCCGAGGTTGAGCATTACCTGCTGAATAAAATATAAAGTGCTTCTCATACACAGTCCAGGTGCAGGGCATAAATCAGTCTGAAAAAATGGATCGGTCGGTTCATCCATTACAAAGTTTTCTTCCAAGATGATTCCCACTCTAGATGGGTTTAGATGTGGACTTGCTTGATCAACGCTGAGGATTCTTACTGGAGTCTGTCTTGTCAGCTGCATCCTAACAGAGGAAGAAACAGATCGATAAAGACATTATCAAGTCAGTCAGATAATGCTGTTGTCAAATACTCAAGATCATATGCTGCGTTCCATGTTCTACTTAGAGCTGTTCATGTCCTTGGACCTGGAACTGTGCGTTTCTATGGCAACACTATCGATGCCTAAATTAATCTGCAGCAGTCAGGTACAGTGGTCACGTGGTACAAGTAGCTTTAGATGTGGACTTGCTTGATCAACGCTGAGGATTCTTACTGGAGTCTGTCTTGTCAGCTGCATCTTAACAGAGGAAGAAACAGATCGATAAAGACATTATCAAGTCAGTCAGATAATGCTGTTGTCAAATACTCAAGATCATATGCTGCGTTCCATGTTCTACTTAGAGCTGTTCATGTCCTTGGACCTGGAACTGTGCGTTTCTATGGCAACACTATCGATGCCTAAATTAATCTGCAGCAGACAAGTACAGTGGTACAAGTAGAAGCTCTCAGAAAATTCCCAGAATACAGATGGTAATTATGAGTTCTACAAGGACATGAATTCTTTTTCCAAGTTGGAATCTTGTAATTATGGCAAATACAACATGAGATGAATGCACTTATACGTACCTGGTTTACTGTAAAAAGAGCTGGCCTTTGGGTGATGTAAGGCTTGTCGTTGACAACTTTTCTGTGAAGCAAACATTAAAGTTACAGTCTTTATAAGGGCATCTGACTTAAAGGTATACTCCACCCCAAAATGAAAATTTTGTCATTAATCACTTACCCCCATGTCGTTCCAAACCCGTAAAAGCTTCGTTCGTCTTCGGAACACAATTTAAGATATTTTGGATGAAAACCGGGAGGCTTGTGACTGTCCCATTGCCTGCCAAGTAAATTACACTGTCGAGGTCCAGAAAAGTATGAAAGACATCGTCAGAATAGTCCATCTGCCATCAGTGGTTCAACCGTAACGTTATGAAGCGACGAGAATACTTTTTGTACGCGAAAAAAACAAAAATAACGACTTTATTCAACAATTCGTCTCCTCTGTGTCTCTCCGCATCACCGTAGCGCCATTTTGGAGAATATGCGCTGAACGCAAGCAGCGTACGCTCTCATGTGTCAGCCGCGCTGCACGGATGCGCTGTTCAAATCAAAGCGTAAAAATACACGTAGAAAACGTATCCTTGTGTCATGGCTGACACAGAAGAGCGTACACAGTTCGCTTCATAACGTCACGGTTGAACCACTGATGGCAGATGGACTATTCTGACGA